GATAAAATAAACAATGCAGCAAACTAAAACAACACTGACAGTGTCAGAACACAACCTGCCAGCCTGTTGGTCAGGGGGTTGGTAGCAGTCCAATTGGAAATGTGGCTGCAGCCCTCCTGGAGTGTCAGGAGTGGTTCTGTTGGAGCAGGGATCCTGTAGAAAAGGATGTAGAAAACTCTGAAGTTCCATGGTAAGAAGAGACAGCTGTGCCTCTGGAAAATCCAGTGGAGAAGCCGTGCTGGTGTTCCAGAATCTCCGGATTATATCTGGGTAGGAATGCTTGGCTCCTACCTCTGGGCAGAGCAGCTCACTATGTATTGCTGTAGTTCTTATCAGTCATGCAGTGACATTCAATAGCCTGTTATCAGCAGATGCCTCCCTAAAGGGAGGAGTGGTTGTGGAAGATTAAAGGAAAACTGCCCACTTAACAGAAGACAACTGCCATACAGATGGCAAATAGAATACAATTTCCCTGACAATCAGGACATTTTGTAATGACGCTGAATAGCTTTGGTTTGATTTTTAGCTTTGCACTTCCCAGACTGCTGCTGTTTTGTCCCTGGGAAATCTCTGCAGCATAGCTAACTCTGGCTTTTGTGTGTTCCTGTGTGCAGGCCCTGCAGCGAGCCAGCCAGATCATTGCAGAGATCCGAGAGACACATCTTTGGTGAAGACTGTATCAGCCACACTATTTATATGCATTGGAGGTTACATTGGCTTGACAATTGCTAGGCATGGTATACGGAGTAGAATTTTTATTTATGAACTCTTCTTATCTGTGTACTGCAACTGTGTAAATCTGCTCATGTAAAGACAGTTGGTTTGATTTGCAAACAGATAAACATGCTGTATTTTGCAAAAGAAGTCGTATTTAATCCATATAATAAATGGCTCTAAATGTTTCCTTACCAGGTTTCTGGTGCAAATTAAAGCAGACCAAGTCTTCTGTCTCAGTGACAGTCTCATTTGAACTTGGGGAAAAACATTCAAGTTCCAGTGCCTGACTTGCTGAACAGGTTGCCTGTGGTTAAGACAGCCAGTGTAGTCTTGTGGCATAGTTTTAAGCTGCTTTTCCAGTAGAAGTTTCAATACTGTGAAGACAAGAGAGCACCGAGTATTTTCTTTCATGAATATATTGCATGCACTGTGGCAGATGGAGGTCTCCATTTTATAGCACAGTAGAGATGTCGAGCGTATTACTATGTATGTGTGTTCCCTTTTTTTTTTTTTCTCTTTGTCCCCAAATGTTTCAATGGCAGACAAAACTTCAGACTTGATTTCATGGAGTATCATGTAGGAAGAATTAGCCTGGAGCTTGTGAACAAGAACAGCCTACTAAAAAGTGGCTGCAGAGTTATTAACGTGCACTGGAGCTTGTGTATGAATGTTGGAGTTTATAATCAGGCACAAGGACACCTTCCCCTTCCTCCCCCCTGGGACCAAGCCCCTGGACCATCTGATTAGTAAATTTGCTCTGGCAGAACTGAAAAATAAAACTGGATTTCAAAACTGTCATGGGATAGTAAGCGTTTCTTTTAAAAACAGATGAAGTTGGCCAGGGAGAAGGGGATGCCCACAAATTCTGCAAATTTTGGAATGTATGACAGTATGAAAGAAAGTCTGTGGAATTGGAATATTTATATCAGAGATTACAGTTGCTTTTGAGGAAATTTTATTGTGCTGTAAGTAGCTTTTTTTTTGAGGACAATCGTAAAATTATTAAATTGTAGGTTGGAAATTGAGTTGATGAGGTTTCTTTTTTTGTTTTGATTATAATTCATACAGATGACTATTGATCACACTAGCCTTGAAAAAGTAAACATTTTAATTTTTATGAATAAAAATTTATTTAAACTCCAGCCAGCATACTTGCATGTACTTTTCAAGCAGATTCACTCTTTTTGTATAAAGTGAAAATGTTTACTATAGTGTTGCTGATACTTTTTCTTTAACACAACTTGCATGAAAAATAGGACACTGCTGTTAACCTCCATGGCTTGATTTTATGGTATTGGGCCACGATATTGAGGTTTTCATTACCATATGCAGTTCCTTCCCCCTGAAATCAGTTAGCAAAAAAGGAATTCCTATGGTAAGCTGCTAAAGATTGAAAATTTAAAAATTCAGTTTACAAGAAGCTCTGTTTAAAAATGTATTTTTCTCATGGTAATCTTCAGTTCGGCATCAATATGAGCACAAGGAGTTAAGTCTGACAGATGCAACTTTTGGATACTTCATGTATGATCTGAGGTAATTGGTGCAGAACACAGAAATACATATGGTGTATTTTTAAACAGCCTAAAAAGTCATGGTGTATGCATTACATGTAATGAATACAAAGGAGGTACTTTTATCTTGCATTGTATCCAGGGATGGTAGTTCTCAGATTTAAGAAGTATGACTGAAGTGCAAACCACTTTTTAAATCAATTTGGTGATCAGTGAAAGCTTTTTAAGTTTTGTCAAAAGTGTTACATTTCTGTTTGATACCTCTCTCCCTTTTGCTTTCAACATGCAAGAAGTTTTCAACAAGGTAGTGCCGTCCATAAGTGATCTGCTACCTAAGCTTTAACTCTCAAAGTTCAGTCAACAGTCTCTTTGTGAAGAAATACTCTGATTTGTAAAGTTTTGAAATGCTGCATAAAGCAAATGAATTTCATTTATTGAAGAAATTCTTGCAAGTGATACCTGGCTCTGTAATGTTATGTGGAATTTCCAGTATTAATTTGGTTTCTGAAATGTTACGACTTTTTTTGTTTAAGTTTCACAAAAAGTTTCAATTTGGTAATGTTTGAGTGCCAAGAAATGAACTTGATTTGTAATCCTTAATGCAAGACTTTGAAGGTCCATGCTGTAACAATCCTGTTATTTAATAAACAGATAATACACAACATTAATTACTCCAGAAATAGTTTTGGACTGACTTGTAGTTCTGGTGGCAGGACTTACATGCACTTATAAGTTAGTAGTGTAAGTACCTATATGTGTACAACCTTAATGATGATTTCTCTTGTTCTCACTCAATTCTGCATTCTTGAATAGTTCCATAACTCATAATGTGGACAGGCTGCTCATGCCTACTGATAGGTTTGAAACAAGCTGTGTTCTGGAACTGAGCTAAAATACTTCAAATGCGACTATTACTGCCAGCATTAAAAGAAATTATGGGGAAGCTGTGGAAAAAAGCCTAATGAGGGCAGCAACTGAAAAATTCCCAGATTAGACTGATGGTTTACAACTGTCTTCTAATCACCTTACTTAATTTAAACTTGAAAAAATGTTGTCACTAGTGCACAAGTTTTAGCTAACTTGCTCTCCAGTGGGAAGAGAATCATGGAGGGGAAAATCCCTGTAGCCAAGTTCAGATTAGTAAATGTCTGACAGATACTGAGCTGTTGTAGTCCTGCTGTAACTAAAACACAGTATCCTCCTGATGTGAACAGTTTCTGTTTAGTAGTCAGGTTCAAATTTTACTTAGTGAAACAGATGGGTAGAAGGGGTGGTGGTGTCTTTGTGCTTCAGACCTTACTCTGAAGTAAATGGAGCAGATGTTGTGTAAAACCTGCCTTTGTTCATTGCTGTGTGGATGAATGACAGATGCCAGATTGGATATGGCAGACTCAGATCCCTGCTTTATGGACCAGGGCAGGGGCAAGAAACAACTTGCCACTTTGTTGTGCCCCTATTGGGAACTTGAATGGAATTATCATGGGTAATTTTTTTTCCGCAGTTTTCTCCTTCAGCTGTGAGAGCAATGGGTAGCTGGTGTTTCCTGTAGTCACTGAGGATCTCCACTGCATCTGCTTTTTGTTGCTAATTAAATACTACTTTGAGGTGAGAGGCAGAGGATTGATTCCTCAAAGTTTAATACCACTTGGATATGGTTTTGTGCTCAAGGACACTCTTTTAACTAGTGAAGGTGCTTTCATGCTCCCAACAGTTGTGAGTTTACCTGCTGCATGCCCTTTCACCCTTTACCTCTTAACTGGTAGGTGCCACAATAAGGTTAAATTCAAGTCTTCCAGGTTGTGCTGTACAAATGTTTTTGGTGGAGCTTTTTTAGTTTGTTGGTTTTAGGTTTTTTTAAATATCTTGCCCAAATAATTACTTTTCTTTTTGCACTTTTAAATCATGCATCTGTAACCATGTTAAATACTTTAATATTAATTACTCCTTATTCACATTTGAATGAGTTTGGACAATTTCTTTCTGATTGTCTGAATGTGCCTGTATATAAGAATTAAGACCAGGCTAAGAAAGAATTGTTGATTTTTTTCCAGTCATGCTTGACCCAAGTGTTCAAATGCTCAGTTGTGATGGCCCTCTGTGCTCATGGCAAGTAGTGCTGGTATCCAGCTGTTTCTCTGGAAGAGTCAGGGAAGGGTTTGGAGTCCTAGGACTTGGTCAAAGGCAAGCATGGACTAAATTTATTTGGGTTAGTGAATCTTATTAGAAATCTGGCATGGAAAGAACACTTTATTCCTTTTTTATTTCATATTGCTAAAAAATAAATTTACTGATTTATTAGAAGTGGATATATATATGTGTCTGCACCATTTGGTGATGACAGAAAACAGGCAGGAAAGAGATCAGACATGAAACACTACTTAATCCTGGAAGTTTTTCCTGTTACCAGAAACTCTCAAATGGGGCTCTGTTGTATTTCTCTGGAGGTGAACATGGATGGGTGTGTACTGGAGCATTTTGGTCCCAGGTGCATGTTTCTGATTTGCTCCAATGCTTCTGTCATTTAAGGAACAAGGTGGCTGTGTTAGGTGGATGGACTTTCCCTTTCCCCTTCCCTTCTCCCTTTTCTTCTATGTACTTTCTTTGAGGTAGAAATGACTCAATTACTTTTCTTTGTTATGGAATAGAGATTAGGCTAGAGATGTTTCATTTTGAGACAGATAAGTAGGATCTGGAAACTGAAATTAACACTAAGAACATGCTGAGCTTTTGAAAGTGCCATTATTTCAGTTCCATGGCCAGAAGAAACTGTCATCTATAACAAGCAAGCCACTATATTTTATTACTGCTGAAATCTTGAGTCATGGTGCAAATGAAATCAGCATGAAATTTATCAAGTAAAAAGAAACATAAAAAAGATATCTAAAACAGTTACAAACTCCCCACCCAACTCTAGAATACATAACCACATTCCAGAAGCTAAGATTAAGGCTTTACCCCTTGTGGCTGCTGTCACTGCAAATGTGTATTGAAGATTTCATGGACCAGGAAATAATTCTCCGTGGCCTCAGAGTGAGGCCTGATCCTTGAAAGCAACACTGCAAAACACTTCAGCTTCCCTCATGTGTTTCCTGGTCCAGAGATCCTTGTGGTGCTGTTCACCACGACTCCTGGGCAGCTAAAATGAAAACAAACCCTTTCATGTACATGCTCCAAATCTTCTGGTATAATGTACTATCTTCCAGCTGACTGCAGAGCCTACAGAACTAGTACCAGGATATTCCTTCAGCAAGGAGTGCTGGATAGCATGGATGTCATTCATAGGACCAAAGAAGTGGAACAACTGCCACTCCCCTTGTAAGTCATACTATGCACACAGAAGGCCTAAAAGGGGTTCATTGGGTTGATTTAAGCTTTGAAAGGCTCTGTACTTTCAGATTTCAAAAGTGAATTTGCTATGTATTCCCACAGGAAGGCTGGAAAACTTTGGTGCAATGTGTCCCCATACACAACCAAGAACCAACTTACATTAGTGCCTAATCATTTATCATGAATCTTTATTAGGAATTTTCTGCAGCTTCCTTCCAAGCAAACCTGTTCAGGGAAACATGACCACAGGTTGGTTGTCTTTGCCCCCAGCAAGGTTTCTTGGTTAGATGAGTACACACTGGCTGTAAGAAGGAGTGGGTTTGAGTTTGCTTTGGCTCATTTTCCTGTGGGTTATCCTGTGGAATAACTGGCCACTGTTCCTCTACAACACAGAGGGCTGTTGCAGGAAGGGAAGCACATCTCCGTCGCTGGACTTTGAAATGAATCTTTTCATTTTCTTCTCATGCAGATCCTTATGAATGGTGCCTTTGTATAAGGCAGTGTATCCATAATCTCTTCAGTGGTATAACTCAGCTCCTTTATTTGATCTCTGGTGCATTTTGAACAAGAAGTGTTGGGCAGTCTGTGAGCTGGGTCGTAATGACCAGTACAGAAAAATCTTCAAGTACCTCTTCAAGCAGCAGAGTCAGAGACCTGTCCTTTTAGGGAGATACTCTGTTGTCACAACTGCAGCCATTTTATAATGTAGTAATTTTTCTTTCCAACCCTAAGTAATGATACTCCATTCTTCAGAATATGCTGTCCCAGAATAAGAACAGTCTCAGGATTAGTTACACGATTCCCATTTATTGAAACTCCTCCATCTGTAATTTTCCGGTACCTTAAAAACAAAACAGAAACAACTGTTACTTGCAAGAGAAAGGTATTTATTAAGAAATGAAAGTTCATTTGGGTTTGGTTTGGTGTTTGGTTGTTTTGGTTTTTTTTTGTTTTTTTTTTTTTTTGTTTGTTTTTTTTTTTTTTTTTTTTTTTTTTTTTGTTTTTGTTTTTGTTTTTTTTTTTTTGGTGGGTTTTTTTTTGTTGATGTTGGATGCATAATTGAATACATTTTAATTCTTCTGCACTTCATTTCCAGTCCAGGTCAGCAGTGACTGAAATTACCCTTAGCCTCTACTACCACACCATCTGAGAAAGGTAAATACTCTTTTAAGAATTACCCACAAGCACAAGTGAGAACTCACCCACTAGGTCCATCTGGAATGGCATTTGCTTTGCGACACAAGTCTAGAACAGTCATGCCAGGTTCAAGCAGCAGTTCAGCAGAAGTAGCTTGTCTGAAAAGTTCCTGTAGCTCTTGGTCAGACATTTCTTCCAGTGCCTCCACACTGCTGTAATAAAGGGCCTTAGTGCACCTGTGAGAACAAACAGCATTCAAAATACAGAGCTAGTATTCTCTTCACACAAAGTGCTACTCATCAGATTCCCCTCCCCAGTTTCTTTTGGGAGTCCCCAAACTAACAGAAATACTTTAAATACAACCCCATTTTTTTATTTTACCCTACTGTCCTGCAAGGTTTTAAAATATTTTCAGTGTATTTTTAAGTCTATAGGATTGTTCCAATTTTTTCTTTTAACATCTAGGCAACAACTTAATAGATTAAAATAGTTCCTGAAAAGCTATGGAGAATTCCTATAGAAATCTGAAACAAAACTGCTTGATAAATCAAACTTTACCTTTTAGCAGATTCCAGCCCCTCTCTACCATGGACAAGCTTAGTTACTTCAGCAGCCAGTCGTTTCTGAGGGCCCCATTTCTCAGGTTCTTTAGCATGCATTTCCATGATGTGGGCAATCTCCTCAAGAGGAAGGAAGGTGAATAGTTTCAGGTATCTATGAGCAGGGAAAAAATACTTTGTCTATATAGCCATCATCATAGATCTCCTGCCTTTGTCATTCAAACTTCAGTAACTACATGAAAATGATTCTTAGTCAATTATTAAGATGCTCTGTGCTTTCAATCAAATCTTTAAAACTCGTATTTTACCTAATATTCTGCCTAAGGTCAAGTCTTCAGGCATAAGATAGTGTCAGATGCTTTTATGAAGCTTGTACTCCAGTCAACAACTTCGTTTTCTCTTGAAACTTTTATAGGATTTATTGGAATCGTGTGTCAACTAACAAGGTTCTGTATTTATCCTAGTAGATCCACAATATGGATCTCCTAGGATAAATAAAATGCAAAATCCCACTGCCAGTCTGTGGCCATCATGGGACAGAAGCATACTTGTACTGGCAAGTATCTCAGCAGGAAGATTATTTAGGATAATCAAGAATTTAAAGAGGCACCCTAAGCCTACTCTTTACAACAGAGTCCATTTAATGAACTGTCAGTCCCATGCAGTGTATTAAAGGTACCTTTACTGGTAAAAAGTCTGAAGGGCTGAAAGATTTTAGTCCACATACACTTCTTTTCAGTTTGGGATTAGAACATGGATTTGAATTATCAGGGGATAAACCTTCCAGAGAGGTAAGTAAGTTATAAGGCAGGTCCCAATATGAAAAGGAAGTAGCTCAGATTTAACAGTGCCATTGATGTTTAAAGTAAAACAGATTCAGAAAAGAACACAAAGCAAATTATTAAAATCAATGTACTAATGTAGTGTACTGAAAAAAACTGTGACTCTGCAGTACTAAAACTAACATATAAGAGAATAAAACTAAAACATGCCATATAAGACAGTCAACCCACTGGCAGAACAAAATGCGTTATTCACTCCTCTGTCATCCCCCTTCTAATTTTCTGATGCATATTTCAGCATATGGAAGTTCCACTATCCTGTCTACTTAAGAACCAGTCATGCCTGTTTATTTCATGAACACTTATAATTAACACATACTTCTACATGGAGCTTGTGTTGCACATAATTAAATGAAACAGTTACAGTGAACAGTTAGAATCAGGTTTTATAAACAAGGGCAAAAAGCAAGATGGAGAAACACTTACTTTTCAACCATGTTATCTTGCTGTCTGACAAAAAATTGATAGAGCTCAAAAGGAGAAGTCTTCTCCCTGTTCAGCCAAACTGCATTTCCAGCAGTCTTTCCCAGTTTATCACCAGTAGTACTTGTAATAAGAGGTACAGTAATTCCAAACACCTCTGCTCCTGTCATCCTGAGAAAGAAGAGTCACTGCATGTTAAGAAAAAGAAATCATATCTTGGTAAAGCTGACTAAAATACAAGCATTCTGTCAGATTCTATCTTTGATATAAAGCTGGGGGTGATGGGCAAAAAGATGCCAGAACACTGCTGTGTGAAGGAGAGCTTTAGGGAAAAAAACAGCACCATAAGTTTTTAAGTTTTTTTTGTATGTATCAAAGGCATTTATGTCCTTTAAGTAGTTTATATGTTATATACTGCAACTGTCTCATAATCATATTTGGTGTGATTACACCAGGATGTGCATGCTGGCAGACTTTTCCTAATTTTGTCCCATGCTTCAGGGTGTTTGATTTTGGTTCTTGGATTCACTAATACAAGAACCTATTATTTTTCTTAAAAATTCATATAAACCTGGTCAAAATGTACGCATGTACCAAGCTTATGGTCAGACCAACTAATTAATCCTCTCAAATCACAGGGATTTGTGTGTGGCCAAACCTTTCGTTGCTTTAGAGACTGAGCACCAAGTTGCACAGCATTCTGTCATGGAATCACAGAACTGGTGAGGTTGGGCAAGACCTCTGAGACCGTCGAGTCCAACCTGTGAGTGAACATCACCATGTCACCTGGAGCATGGCACTAAGTGCCAGGGGCATCTTTCCTTACACATCGCCAGGGACAGCGACTGCACTCCTCCCTGCGCAGTCCATTCCATCGCTGCCCTTCTCCAGACTTGCTCCAGCACCTCAAAGTCCTCCTGACTGAGGGGCTCAGGACTGACACAGCACTCGAGCTGCGGCCTCACCCGTGCCCAGCACAGGGTGACAATGCCATCCCCGGTCCCGCTGCCCACACCTTGCCCATCCCTTCCCGCCCCGCGCTCCTCCGTACTTGGTGACGAGCTCGTATCCGGACATGATGTTTCCCATCTGGTCGTGGCCGCCGAGCTGGATGCGGCAGCCGTGGTGCCGGTGGAGGTGCAGGAAGTCGTAGGCCTGCAGCGCGGGGTACAGGAACTCGGCCAGGCTCATGCCCTCGGCGCTGCGCAGCCGCGCCTGGCAGCTCTGCCGGCTCAGCAGCGTGCCCATGCGGAGCCGCCCGCCGGCGCCGCCCAGGAAGCGGAGCAGCGGCTCCCGGCCGAGCCAGCGGGCGTTGTCCAGCAGGGCGGCGCGGCCGAGCCGCCCGGCCCCCGGCTCCCAGAACAGCTCCCGGTGGTTCCCGAACAGCCGCTCCAGCCCCGCGCGCAGCGCCCGCGCCTGCGCGCGCACCCGCCCCGCCGGCAGCGGCTCCCGCGCGCGCTCCCGCCCGCTGGGGTCCCCGAGCCGCGCCGTGGCCCCGCCCACCACGGCGATGACGTCGTGGCCGGCGCGCTGGAAGTGCAGCAGCGCCATGACGGGCAGCAGGTGCCCCACGTGCAGCGAGTCCGCCGTGGGGTCGAACCCGCAGTAGGCGGCCAGCGGCGGCCGGCCCGGCTCCAGCAGCGCCGGCAGCTGCTCCTCCGCGCTCTGCGCCGGGAACACCTCCTGGAACAGCCCGCGCTCGCACTGCGCCGCCAGCAGCCCCGCCGCGCCCCGCGCCCGCCGCGCCTGCTCGTGGGCCCGGCGGCGGAGCGGCAGCGGGAGCGGGGCCCGGCGCAGGCCCCACGTCCCCGCTGCCCGCCCGCAGCGCCGGCACAGCGCGGGCGCCGCCATCGCGCGCGGGGCACGCCGGGAGCGCCGGGGGGGCGGGGCCGCTGCGCCGGGACCGCCCCGGAACCGCCCAGGAACCGGCAGGGTCGGGCGGGGAAAGCGGCTCGGGAAGGGCCGGGGTCGGCTTTGCGCCGGCTGGCGGTTCTTCTCCGCCACGTTAAAGATGCGACAAAACCGGCGTGTGTTGGCTCCTGCTCCGCTGCATTTCTCCCAACCCGGAGTACCGGGAGTTCAGGCGGTGGGAATCGGCCTGGCAGAGCGGGTACCGCGTGCCTTGGTCACAGCGGGGCTTTAGAATTTACAGACCCTAGAATTTATTAGCTATGTTACCAGAATTGATTAGCTATAGTCCTAGAAATTTTTAGCTATGTTACATATCTGCTTGGGAAGAGGCGGCTCAAGCCATAGATAGAGGTGTGCAGCTCTGGGTGATAAAAGGAGTGCTGAGGAAACATGGGCCCTCTGCAGGGGAGTGGAGCACCTGGGATATGAGAATGCTGAGGTATGCAATGGGTTTTGTGCTTCAGTCTTCACTGGTGTTCAAGCACCCCGGCAGAGTTGCAGAAGGAAAGGCAAGGGTGAGGAGAATGAACCACCTCCTGCAGGAGAAGATGAGGTTTGAGCCTGTCTAGGGAACCTGGGTGTAGCCATGATATTTTCTGAAAAATCCTTTCCTTAGGATTTCTTCTCGTGAGAAGCCTCAGGAACAAAATGTAAACATTGATTATCTGCTGCTGTGGAATGGAACAGGTGGATCTTTGATTGGTCCATGTTGGTTGTTTCTAATTAATGACCAATCACAGTCAGCTGGCTTGGACTCTCTGTCCGAGCCACAAGCTTTTGTTATCATTCTTGCTTTTCTATTCTTAGCTAGCCTTCTGATGAAATCCTTTCTTCTATTCTTTTAGTATAGTTTTAATATAATATATATCACAAAATAATAAATCAAGCCTTCTGAAACATAAAGTCTATCCTTGTCTCTTCCCTTGTCCTAAGACCCCTGCGAACACCATCACACCTGGGGGTGCACAAGTCCATAGGACATGATGGGATGCTTTCACAGGACCTGAGGGGATGGCTGGGTGAAATGTCTGAGCCACTCTCCATCATGTTTGAGGAGCTGTGGCAGACTGGAAAAGGGGCTCAATTGGTCATTGGTTACCTTTGAGACAATGGCAAGCACTTTATAGACATTGTCAAGATCTTTGCCATTCTGTGTTAGAAGTGATAATACAACAGGAAGATCAATAAATGGAAATATGCAGACCTGGAAAAGCTGGGATTATTAACTCTCCAAGCAATACTGACAAGAAGAGTAATTCTGACACACTAGATTCCAAGAGCTAGCCATTGTCTCATAATGAGCCTGGTTCTCCATGCACCATTTTCACACTCAGCTGAAATTCCTATTCTCTAGCACTCTCTATTCCTATTTAAGTGCTAGCAAAAGCAATGACTATGGCAATTCTTCCTTGCTGTAGGTTCAGGTAAATGCCCAGCTGAAGAAGATGGTTTGATTCCTTTGTGCTGGAAGGGGCCAGTGGCTTCACATAATCCCTTTTTCTTCACTTGTTGGCTCACAACAACCCCCTGCCATGCTACAGGAAAGCTGCCTGGGGAAAATCAGCCTGGGGCTGCTGGCTGGGGGCAGCTGAACCCGAGCCAGCAGTGGGCCCAGGCAGCCAAGAAGCCCAATGGCATCCTGGCCTCTGTCAGCAAGAGGGGGCCAGGGCAGTGATTGTCCCTCTGCTCAGCACTGGTGAGGCCACACCCCAAATCCTGTGTCCACTTTTGGGCCCTTGACACAGAAGACATTGAGGTGCTGGAGCGTGTCCAGAGAAGGGAGAAGGACCAGGAATTTACTTCTTTGAAATCTCTGAGATGCTGTGTTGTGTTACCAACAGTGAACCAGTTAATTCTGTTGCAGAGCTAGTTTTTGCCATTTTGTTCTTTATTCATGTCTCCTGTGCTTCTGCTTTCATTTCACAGGGCCAGCCTGTGGCTGCTGGGATGGTGAACATAAAGCCCCACAACATCAGCAGGAGCTTTATCATCCACCTCTCCCAGCCCCTCCAGTAAATTCCCTGGTGCTGGGATAATCACTTTGTGGTGGCAGATGCTCTGGCAGTGCCCACTGCCTTCCAGAGCACACCTCATACCAATACCCCTCTTTTCTTATTATTGCTTATGCTGTACTCTGAGGGTTTTTTTCTCTGTGAGGGATGGGAAAAGCTCAATTTGCTCTCAATGTACATCTAAGGGGTAGCCTGGCTCTGTGGTGTCTGTAGGCAAGAGGACAGTTGTTATTTTCTGCAGTCCTTAATCCCTCTGCAGCTTTTATCTCTCAGATTAGTTAGAGCATTTGAACAAATAGTTTTCCTTTGACAAATAGTTTTCTTTTCCCTCCCTCATGTTTATTTTATTTCATTTGATCTTCTTGTTTTTCAGTATATCTAATTTTTTTTCTTGTCATCTTTTTCAGCTGAAAATTAACTTGTTCCCTGTTTCCTCGCCTCTCTCCACCCAGGGGTATTTGGTGCTTGTGTGTTCCTTTCTTCTCCTCTCTTTCTCTGCTGTAATTGGTTTAATTTTGTTTCTTTTTCATGGACCTTTTTATATGTCCTCTGATAGGTGCATAGCTGTTTTTAATTGGTCTTTGTGCCATATTGATCTCGGTTTAGATTTAATATCCATCCTTCAAACACCAGACCAATTAATATGGAATATGTTTTCATATTTCTCATGCTAAATAATTTTTTGACTTTACAATGACCCAGGGGCTGGCAGACTATGGTGCTGACAGCTGTTTTTGTCCTTGATTTTAGACTCCGTCAAATTCAGTTTCAATATTGGGTTTTTCTAAGACAACCCCAAACCCAGAATCAACTATAAAAATCCTCTTCATTTTCAAAATACTGTTGTGACAATGTTATTATCTGTGGCTTGTTAGTGTTCAGCAATTATTCTTTTTTTACACACTTTTTTAGATATGACAGTATCCTAAGTCCAAAATCTCTCCATTCTCCACAAACAGTCATGCACAGAGTTAATTTGCAAATAAGATAAAAGTATTGGGAAGAAAGTTCTGCATGTCCCATGGAATTTAAGTAATTACACAATGTGTATTGGCACACGGGATCTTTTCCCCAAACCTTATGGGTTGGCATCACTCACTAACAAAGTATTTGCTTGTGACATAACTGAAAAAACTTTTTGTGACTATTTTGCCACCCTGCCATACTGTGATGGTCAAATTATTCATTCTGAGAACCATTCTCTTAAAAGATTAAGGCAAAGGCAAGGGTGATCTCTCTTGGCTCTATAATGGGATACCAGTAATGTAACCAGGGAAAGTAGGAAGTGTTCAGGACTAAATCCCATTAGGAGACAGGCTAAGCCTAAGTAGAAGAAATGTGGATGCTGTTAGAGATGATTAAGGTGCTTAGTCTTTCCATTATAAATCATCAGTCTTTAGGTGTGATTGTCTTCCTATAAATCATAAAGCAGTTTATTGTGGTCTTGTAAGCAAATTTTTTTTCAGGCATTTTGAAAGCATTTTCACACAAGGAAATCCAGAACTGATAGTGAAGGCTTAGCTTCCATTATGATAAATAAAATAGTCATGAAAGGATCATTATTTTCATGGCAATGTACTTTGAAAAATAACACAGATTAGAACAAGAACTAACAAGACATAATAATGAGAATAAGAATGTTTCTTTTTCTAATTCAGTTGTTCAGAATGAATCCTTTATCCTGGCTCATTTAGTATTCTGGATGATGCTGATGGAAAAGAGAAAACCCTTCTGCTTTCAGAATAGAAAAGTAAATATGAAAGCTGAAACTCCCTCTGCTTGCCAGTGCAGGTGTATAAACTTCCTGGTGGTTCGAAGGAAATTACTTGGACAGTTCAAGGAACTGCTATGTGAAATTAGAGTAAGTATAAAATGCTGGTATGAAAGGCCTGGGTGGAGCCTGGGGAGCACCCACACAGTTCTCTGGGCAGTAGTTGATGTCACTTCCAGTGCTAGGCACCCCTCCAGTTGTATTTTCCTCCTTGTTCTTCACTGAGCCCATGCCCCCCTTGCCATTCTCAGGCAGATGCAGATATAATCAAAGTCAGCCCTCACAGTACTGTGGGATGTCATTCCCAAAGAAAGGTAACATTTCCTAGAAACCACAACTCTCTCTCTGTCAATTGAATATCAAATCAGCTGGGGTCTTGGAAACTATTAAAAGAATTTCCCAGCCAGGTTACTTAACTGGAAATATTTTGAAGTCACTTGTTGGTGGCGCCGTTGTCTTTTGTGTCCCCCTCAGGAAGAGTGCAGGCTGAGGGACTGCAGAGCTGCCACATCGTGGGTGAGGTGTTTGCTGCAGTTTCCACTTCATGCCTGAATTTCCACCCAGTATTTGATTCCTATTCTTTCAGAGAAGATCCTCGTTCCATTGCAAGGTATCATTATTCAATGTAACTGACTTTAAAACTCTGCTTCGATTTGTGCCATCGTTTATTCCCTTGTGCAAAGGAAAGGAATTCCTGATCCACTCTCCTGCCGGTAAAGCCAAGTTATACGTGCAGCAGCCACCAGGTGGCAATACAGGAGCTTGATATGTTGAATTTTGGTGCTATTCGTGCCGGGGAAGCTTTGGGGTATTAGCTAAGTAAATATATTTACTGCAGTGTTTCTGCAGAGTTTGGCTTTCTCTGCCAATGCCCCGCATCGGCATAATTGACTTCATGCAACAGCCAAGGGAGACTAAGCTGATTTTCTGGATCAATGATTGAAGCCTTTTATGTGGCTAATAATTGATATCTTTATTTAAGTGGCTCAGTAGTGGATGAGAGATGTTGTGTGAGGAACTCAGCTGTGGTTAAAAGCAAAATCTCTTAAGAAAGGGGATGCACTGGTAACATACAGCTGTCCCACTGGGAGTTTTCTCCTGGCTTTAACTTCTGACCTTCCTGAAGGCCAAGGAAACCTGAACACCTCACATGTGTGGAATTCCAGATGTAATTGCTTCACAACGTTAACATCTGCCTTTTCCATCCAGTCTTTTTCATTCACCTCTCATCAGGGCTGATGCTTGCTTTTCTGCCTTATAAGAGCATTCAACACTGGTGTCTGGTGGAAATAGTTAATTCCCAGTCTTTTTCATCTTTTCTTGTCATTTTCAGGCATTAGGGAAAGTAATAATATCTCTGTACTTTCAAGGACTAGTTTTCCACCCACTGTAATGGAGAAAGTATTTTAAGACATTTTTTATTTTGACATTAGCTCTTTCAGTAGCAGTCAGTGCTACAGCTTTTCAGAAGGTGGAGTTCTCTGTTTTCTCATTCAGATAGATGAAAAAGCTTCTAGCACAAGAAATGTATTGTGGACTTGGCAGATGTCTCATGTCACTAAATTCACCACAGTGTTTATTTGAACGTAGAGAAATTATGGATGTGCATTTTGTTATTTCACATGAAAGTGTTAACAGCCTGCTACTGTCTTTTCCTGACATGGAAAGAGTTTTCCTCTCAGTACTTTATGGGAAATCTTACTTTCAATCAGACAATGCACTGTGAAGTCTGTTAGCAAATATGTCTTTCAAGTACATGCAAGTTTGTGGTTTAGGAAATAAATAGCAATGTAAGGAGAGGAGCATAGTAGGAAGCCTTGAAAGAGTAAATAACTTTTGAGAAGGGAACTTCCCTAAGAAATATTTGAGATAAGATTCTGCCTATGAGTTGGGTGTTCAGTGTGTCAGAAGTGCTGTGGGCACAGATGCTGGGTCTGCCTTGTATTTTGAATAACACAAAGCTCTTCTGCACGGGCAGTGATAGCCCCTCTCAGTCTGGGCACTTTGCTGGACCAGGGGCACTGGCCCTCGTGTGCCCTTGTGCCCTCAGAATTCAAGATTCACAACTATTAAAGCTTGAAGGAACTGAATTGGCTGATTTGCCCTCTGCACAGTGCTGACCGTGGGATTTAACAGTTGACAGGAATTGCAGAAATGAAGACCTGTGTTTGGCAGGAGCAGATACACCACAGCCCAGGTGCCTTTCAAAAGGATCTCTAACCCTCTCTGTTAACATCAAGCAGCCTGCTTAGGCAGTTGATAAATAAACTTTGTCTTCAAAGCTGATAACAACAGATTTCCCCTGAGAAAACATGCACAATCCTCAAAGCCTCTTCTCTTTCTTGAGCTTGTTTGTATGCAGTCTCAGCTTTCTTGCTCAGATACTGCACAGCCTCAGGCCATGCTTCTGGCAGGTTACATAAAGAAAAGCTTTGAGGAGCTGGCTGGTGATTGAAGAAATGAAAGTGAGCTTTGGGACATGATGCTTGAGGAACTGGATGGCTACTGCTTTTCCCTTGCAGCTTTCTCCAGTTATAATCACCAGCCTGGGAGCAAGATGCTGGACACTGATCCCAGTGGGAGCCATTTTCAGGGATAACAAGTCACTGGTTGTAGCAGCAGAAGGATAACTCAGTGTTGAGCTGATAGGATAATATTTCTGTCCACCTAAATTGTTCTGCAGTGTCAAATGACAAAGGTAATTTCATACTTCTATTCATCCATGGGTTTTGGATGTTACCCTGATAGCTATGACTGTACAGAATAGCATATGCCTGTGGGAGGGGGGAATTTGAAAGGGAAAAGAGGAGAAGAATGTGACCACTAGCCTGAAAGTACAGTGCTAAAGAGAGAGGCCACACACCATATACTTCCAGAAAAACAAATGATGACAGTGCTGTGTCTTGTCTCATCATGTAGTTTGTTTTTCTCATGTTTATCTTGAAATGGATACTGAACATTTGTTGTATTGCTCATTTCTGATTCTGATTTAAGGTGTTTAGTATATATTTAAACCTAACAGAAGGTTAAGACCACTTAAGCAAGACATGAAATGATGTCCCCTGACATAGACAACAGTGTCAGTGTTCATTCTGGGTTGGTGGTTGTTTTCCATATATATATATATATATATATATATATATATATATATCTGTTATTGATGTTCACAGATTATTAATTTGATGGCTTTGTGGTCTGAAAGCTAATAATTTATATTCCTGCTCTGTTCCTGGAAGGGAGAAGCTTGCTCTTTCTTGCCAGGAATCATTAGTCAATGCCCTTGGTTCAGGCTGTTCATGTCTTGTGTATTGTTATGTGATAAAGGGGAATTACAGAGTGGGATTCTACCTGAAATCTTCAAGGCCTGTGGGAGTTCCCCCAACATGTCACAGATTTCTTCAGATATGTGATAAGGCAAGCTGCAAATACTGATAAAAGATAGAGAAAAATGTTTGTTTTTCACAATAGAGGGGGATTACCAACTGGAATCCTTTACAGATCAATGTTAAGATCTGTAAAGGATCAGTGCTGTTTGAAATACCTATAAACAATGTGGGCAAGTAGTTGGTTAGTGAATGGTTGTTGAGGAGGGGATGATATCAGCTCCCCAAGACATTTCAGGGTACTCCAACCTAATCATGTTTAGAGATTTGCTGTCTATTGAGGTGCTATCATATCTGGTCTGGCTTCTCAGCCATCGTGGAGTTGTCAGGCTGCATGGAATTCAGGAGGAGGAGAAACTTTAAAATTAATGTTTCTGCTAGGTTTGTAAGAAACTGAAACCTGCTTTAGAAGATTTCTAGGAAAAAAACCATTTGTTCCTTCTGTTACCAGAAATGCTTTGTTACAAGACCCATTTGCAAACAGGGAGAATAACTTTGGCCTGTGCCCAGATGCATTTGTAGTTTAAATACAGAGTAAAGCAGTAGTTGGTACAAACAGCCATTGAATATGAAGAAACAAGCCCTGCCCTGGAGCATCCCCACCTTAGCCAAGGTCCAGGGCCCTGTTACAGCCCAGAACACCTCTCCTGACTACTTTTAGGGGTAGCCCTGCCTGGCCTCCTTTTGCTCCTGTTGAACACCCTGGTCCTGGCTCATTCCTTGATGTACCCAGTGTGGCAGAGATCTCTCTTGTCCCCCTGCTTGTCCCCCCTCCTGGGGCACCACAGGGTTATGTATAGGAAAGGCAGGTCTATCAGTGACACACAGGATATCTGGGGATGCCAGGTGACTCTGAAGGGTGGGCTTTATTTTCTTGTCTCTTCTGAAAAGTGCCTACCTTCACCTGCAGCTCACAAGGTCAGCTGCATTGCAGCTGGGGACATGAGCACTGCAGGGACACTTCTGCCCTTCCGTGTGACACTGCTAAAAACTGACAGCCCAGAATCTTGAGCTTTGCAAGAAGCAGTGGCTTTTGCTGGCTGGGAGCTGCAGTCAGAGTCTGGGTGAAGTGGCTGTCAGCCCAGAAGTGAAATTACAATGTTGGGCAGGCCAAACCAGCAGAGATGGAAGAGCTGTCTGAAATAGCAGCTCCTCCATTGTCACTGTGATATTTTCTGAAAAATTCCTTTGCCAGGATTTCTTGTCCTGGGAAGATGAGAAGCCTCAGCTTCTCCATGTTTTGCATTTCTCTGGAATGAGGTCTGGAGATTGTTTATCCAAACATGTGAATTGTTTTTAATTAATGGCCAATCACAGCCAGCTGTGTTGGGACTCTGGTCAGTCACAGGTTTTTATTCATTCTTTTCTAGCCTTCTGATGTATCCTTTCTCTTTTTTTAGTACAATTTCAGTATAGCTAATATAATGATATAATATAATATAATATAATTAATATAATATCTTTCTGAGAACTTGGAGTCTAATTCTCATCTCTCACCTCGTCCTGGGGACCTCACAACACCACACTCCATGGTGGTTCAATCCATGCAGGAGTGAACTGGATGCAGTGTCTGCTAAAGAGCGTTAGATCAGCCTAATCCTCGTTCTCATTATCAGCTGAAAGTGTGTCTGTGGTCCCACATGTCCCCAGAGATGTTAAGTGGTGGGGTTTGCTCCATTATTTGCCTTCTCTTTGCCATCCCTGTTTAGCAGCTGCAGGCTGAGAGATGTCCATGGAAACTGAAGCTTCTCAGTCATGATTTGGGTGATGGAGACTTAAGAGATTTCCTCAGCCTGTTGAAATGGATCTGGCAATGGCCAATCTTCCTTATTTATGTGGGACTCCAGT